ATAGAGTTGGAGCCAGATACCCAAATGCCCAGATATCAAAATATGTTTCTAAAGTTCTAGTCGGAGTGCTCTAGACTGATACATACGTAGAAGCTACTTTTTCGGGCATCGATATTGCTCGACAACTTTCCTGCCAGTGACCTTTCTCGCACATTGAGCTCCTCGGTCATGACTCTCATAAACCCAATGCCGTTCTTCTTGAAGCTACTTTGTCACAAAAACATATGTTTTTATATCTATTGGAGGTTTTCGTCTTACCCATCAGGACACCTTTAATTATTTGTACACTTGAAGTAATTTTTTTTTGGGAGACGGAAAACCTCGTCAGAACGTGCGGAATAGACAACAGCGCGCATAGAAGGAGGACAGTCCCTTCTTCTTGACTCGCCTACTCGAGTACATGCTCACTTTCTTTAAAACACATGTGGTTGCTATTCAGCTAGTGAACCATTCAAATGTAAACCGAAAAAGTAAACAAATTTACAGAAAATCACGCGATCCACTACAATTTGAAGTTGAATCAAGTTTCAGGTAACGGTCTATTATACGGAGCACCGTGGAAGCCAACCCCCCATGAGAGAAAATAAAAGAAATATGTCAAACAAAAACAGGAAATACCAGATAATATTATTATAAAGAGCTAGTATATAGCAACGAAAAAACGTGCGATAATTGAAAAATAAATAAAAATAATTCAATAAATAAATAAAATCATAAACTAAAAATAAAAACAAACTACTATTACCACCGGTCCCATATCACGCAATTTTCCGTGGTGATCCATATAATAGACTGTTGCCGAGTTTTCTTGAGTCTTCCACCTTTCCACTGAGTATGGTTTCACTGTTTTACCTAAATGGTATTGATAAAGTTGTGGTTCTTGCATCATAATTGCCTACAAAGTCCTGACACGGCATTCTCATCTCTTGTATTGATAAATTGAACTGTCTTCTCAATTTTCTAGTGTGGTGTTTCCCTTTTTGCGTCCAGATGCATGTGAGCTTGAATGCAATGCGCTGTGAATGTCCTCAGTCTCTAACGATGATTTTTCCTCCAGAGGTGGTCATAGGTTTCAAGAGTTGTTGTCATCTGGTAGTGGATTATAAGAAATCAAGAAGCTTCCAAGGGTGATAAATTAATTTTCAAGCACCCGCAATGTAGGACCGTGGTATTTGTTGTGGAGTTGTCTGCCTTTATTGATTCTCCATACCCTAACAGCAAATGTCGTTGGCTATGAAGAGGGCCGTCATTTGTTGTTAATTTTATAGGGTTAAGGCCCTTTAAATTGTCGAATGATTTTATATATTTCTATTTTTTTCTTTTGGTGTCTGCATTCTGAAAACTTTTAACATTTGCGTTTGCGTAATATATTTAGTTTCACGAATATGATAATTATTTTGTTTTTTTTTTCAGCTCAAATTTTGGTCGCAATAAACAAAATGGACAAATACGGTGTGGACCCAGTAAGTCTGATTCCGTTGCTTTTGTGTGTGTTCGTACTTTGACACGATTGCTAAGACTAAGTTTACATAAGTGTAGACCCCTCGGTTCAACAGTACTCGACAAAATAGATTTTGTTTAATAAGATTTGGATTTATTTGCTGTTGTGGGGCGAAACCGGTCACAACAGGTGCATGTTAAAACACTTATTTACCCCTCCCCCGTGATCAACAAGCATTTTATCTCCAGCGTTTTCCTTCTCAACACTTTGAAAACGTCCTTCGGTTTCCTTTTAAAAAGATAGTAATGCTACTACTTCTAGTAATAGTAGGATTGTCAGTAACAAGTGGCAAGGACAGGAGGGGGCGCACTGGTGACCTGCACGTGAAATAGTTTGTGTAGGACATCTACCACTTCCTTTTCTTACACCTACTATGCTGCATCGACGAGACCAGATAAGGACAACTAGAGACGAGCGCGGACGCACACACACGACAGTCCGACCGTAGGTTTTGACGGTGACCGCGTTGGCTTGCGCGTGGATTACTTCTAAGTGATGGTAGACTTGCGCTGCATCTGCCGCACTCTCTCTTCTCTCACTCATCTGTGTCCGGTGTCAAGAAAGAGTCAAGAAAACCGAAGGCGGGTTCGGGGGCAGGCGCGGCCGAAGTCACCCCCTATGCGTACTACCACGCCTCCCCTCAATGTTCGGCATTTATTATGGAAGCGCAACCTGAATAACACCTGCGGTGCCCTGATCTGCGCATATGTTAGGTGGCCGTTTAGGGGTATCGCGATCCACACATATACGTACTAATCCCTAACTACAAACGAACTGGCCCGCCAACGAGGGAGCCTCTTGCTTCAAACAAACACAAGACCACAGCAAGAAGGAACCATTGTTGTCTTGATCCACCCAGTTCTGTATAGGACTGAGTTAGGTCGTTTGTTCATTGCCCTCCAGGCCATGACTGTTGGCGTGGCGGTATAGTTTATGCGCAAATTGGGTTGTCTGTAGTGAAGAAAGGACAATACTGTCTTGTAGGGTCGCATAAATATATACCCCCCCCCCAACCGCCTTACGAAATTGGGGATAAAACATTTAATTCTTGGTTAACGAGTGTAGATAAATATGCAATTGTGCCGAAAATGACCAAAGAATATTAAATTAAAGTCACATATAGTTGTTTTAAATGAGCTAAATGGAATTAACTTCATCAACATAAACCCCTGTTGCTCAGGCAACTGATGCCTATTGGTGGAAATTTGACCTTTTATTGGAAGAATTTAACGAAAAAAGGTAAAGTTGGGTCACTGCAAAATGTGAAAGTAGGTTATTATTACAAGTCAAAGGCAAGTAGGACCTCTAAAGACGGTACTAACGAAGAAATTAAGTGCGTGATTGAAGTTTGAACGCCACTCCCTCTTCCCTCCTTCCATCCTATCGGTAAATCCGACTCAGATCGATTGAAGACGAAGTTAGCTGCACTGGTTACCGTGGCCAGAAGTCGCCGTCTGAAGCATGTCATATTGTAAACGCAAAAGTAGTTCCTCTCTCCTCTGTGTAACCTCCAAGCCTACCCGTAACTATGCAGATGACTTTTCTCCTGATAAAAACTGTAGATCACATTTTCGACAGAATACTACTGTCTAATTCCACCATTACTATTTGACTTCAAGGGTCTTCAGTCCACTCGAAGTATAGTCCACGCCAGAGCAATTTGATTATATTGTTTTTGCGGTGGGTGCCTTTTCGTTTAACAGCTTTTTAAAATCTTATAGTCAACCCTGTACACATCCTTCATAAATCAATGATATGCCGTCCGTTGTGGTAGGTTGTAGAATCGAGGATCTTATAAGATTTCGTTACATCATCTTCGTCCATTTATTCGTTTGAAGAGGACAGAACTCGGACTAAACTAAGCAGTATTTGTTGTAGCGTAACCTTAAGGAACACATAATTGTAGCGTTGAAAAAGTGTCAATTTTAAGGGCACATCCCTCCTACACCATTTAAAACGTCTAAGTCTGCCGTCTTTGAGCCAAGGTATATATCTATCTCTATTTTCCTTCACAGAGCCGCACAATCGACGGCCTTGCTGCGCATGGCGTTGTTGTCGAGCGTCTCGGCGGCGAAGTGCAGGCAGTTGAGATCTCAGCCCTAAAGCGCACCAATCTAGTCGCCCTGCTGGAGGCCATTGTCGCTCAATCCGAGATCATGCAGATCTGTGCGGATCCGTCCGGGCCCGCGGAGGCTCTTGTGCTCGAGTGCCACACCGAGCACGGCTTGGGGTATATCTTGTTCTTCCT